TTGCTTTACAGTGATTAGGGATCCAGAATATTGCTAAGCTACTTTCTCCCTTACACTTGGCAGCATAAAAATAATGAATTAAAAATAGAACCTGAGAAATCTGGAAAATGCCATCCTAAAGATATCACAGGCTGCAGTGCTGAGTCCTGTTTTCTCATTAGTATGGAAAGAAGTGGAAATTTCTTGAAAACAATGTATTCCAGACCAAATCCTTGAATTTATATAAACAGCTTTCATTTCAGTATATAAATCCCAAACGTCTCAAAATTCTTGAGTGACCAAAGACATAGAGGGAGAGGCAGTGTTCCTGCCACCCTGCCTGTAGGGAGCATCTCTTGATGGATGCTGCTCTCTTCCAGCCTTGTGAGTTGTTTCGTCTCAGCCTGACAGACGGCCACAGCGGAGACCCCCAGGAGCCCCATCAGTCCTCACAAACCATATGGACAAGGACTAAAACAAGGCATAGAAAAGGTTCCCTGGGAGAAAAAGAAGAACCCCAGTATATACAAAATCAAATGTTTTGTGATATTTGGAGTATTTTTAAAGCCTAGAACTTACAAAACCAGTTTTCACAGTCCTTACTTTCCACTCACCTTAACCAATTACCCAGATCTTTAAAAGATTTGAAAAGTAAAAGGACAAAATCCTAAAAGCAGCTACTATGTCACCACTGTCCAAAACCCCTTCAACAATCTGTAGCCTGGTGTCTCATGTTTTATTACACAACTCCAAGTCACCAGGAAAAACTTCACAATCCAGCCAAGTTCATGCAATAATGCACAGCCGAAAGTTGCTTTGAGGAGGAAGGGGCTGGGCGTTGAGAGGCCTTGTAGCCAGTTTTATACTACATTTAGTCTACAACCGTCTAGAAATATAAAATTAAAAAAACTCAAAATACCAACAGCTCTGAGCTTCAAATGAATTCAAACATGCCTTTTTTTTAGCACAAGCTCACATGACTCATTAAATAATTTACTCTATAAATTACTTATCCTGTCTTATTAACAATTCTAGAGTGCTTTATATAACTGCATTAGAAATTTATTTTGTGGTTTTGAAATGTATGCAATACACAATCACCCCTCTTTTAATAGGCAAGGGTTTAAAAGTCACCTACTATTTTGTTGGCAAGCAGTTCTTCCTGAAAAACACTAATTAATTTCAAACCCCATTCACCTGAATAATCATAAGTAAACACATTAACGACTTGATGGCAGAAATGTGAAACTAGACCAGGAATATACTTCCACTGCAAGAAGTCACTTTTAAATCAAAGTCTTCGAAGATTCATGTACACCAAGATCTAATAGCAATAGATTTTACTTAGCAAGAAAATATCAGACCAGTCCTTTTACAAGAAGTCCCGGACACTTTAAAAATTACTCATTTACTACCCTATTGATATTCTGTAATAAGTGATCCTGACAAGAACTACTTATTTGCTACTGTGCCTATAATGTATGGATTTAACAATACTGATACAGTCATTTTGCTCTCACCACTCTTGGTCCTTGGCTCTTAATGTGAGCTGCAATGACTGATATTGTTATTTTAATGCAGGATCTCATTCTAGACTTCAATTTATCTCCAATAATATCCAAATGACCAAACAATTATTCCAATTACACTCTGTTATGATAAGCATTGGCACTTGCTTTCCAGATAAAGGCCAGACGACATCAGTTGGACAAACCTAAAATTGGATTTAGTCAATTGGACAAATCTAGCCCGTTGGACAAATCTAAAATCAATTTCATTAACTGTAATAGCAAGTATGCAAAAACAACTAGGAAGGGAAAGAGTGAGGAAGATGACTAAGAAAGCACCAGGCATAAATACTCTTATGCCCTCCCACGCAAACTTTCAGCAGCTGGCCCTCACAGGGCTGATGAAGAAGCACTCTGGGTGTCTTTCTACTGCTCTCAGTAGATCTGGTTGTTGGATCCAACCAGGAACCAAGAAATAGCTTGACTGGGACGAGACCACCTATTAAGCTCTAAACTGCAATTTACCTACAGACCAAAACAGAGCTGAAGCACCTGGGTGTTAAAGGACAGAGGCTGCTTGATGCATGCTCCCTCAGCTCTGCTATTCCTACTGCACTGCCCCAGCTTTCCATCCCACCTCCTAAAGGGAAAACTCTGGCTGCCCACTCACACCCTGTCTGCTCAGTGCCTTACACCTGGCCCTCAGCCAACCCTCTGAACCACCAAGGACTTCACATACCCACCCTGACCACGCAGCTATCCCAGCCTCCTGTGCTTGTGGTCCGAGTAAGGAACTGGATTCAGCACACACGCCCCGCATGCCTATGGATGTTTTGCCTCAGACTGCGAGATCCACTCCCGTCAACAGCAGGACATAACCAACAAATAAAGGACTGGTTTGAATAAACACTCCGGAAATACATGGGAATAAACTCTCGAAATTAACTGTCTTACACTCTTCTCCTCTTATTCATAGTAAGAGTAATTCCACCAGAGACCACTGGAATTGTTCTCCCATATCTGTAGAGCACACAGAAGAAGAACCAGGTGTGAAGATTCACAACTGAAATGCAATGCCCCAGCCTCTTAAACCTGTTTCTTGGCTAGAATAAAGCACGATCTGCAGCGTTAAAAATGGTTCCACAATCTGTACCTACTGTATTAGAACCGCTACACTACATAGTTACTGTTTACTGAGCTCACACAATGAAAAATGTGACAGCTACTGCAGTCTAATTTTTAATTTATGCCTATAAACTAATTGAAGGGCCTCTGTGTTTTTTGTTAAAAGTACAAATGAAAAGACCATCTTAAATATGTGCGACAGCATCTCCTGAGAAATCCATGACTCAAAATTATTTTTAGATCACCAAACACAACAACATGCAATGTCACAGAATGATACAGTAAAAACCAAAAAGAACTGTAAAGACAGCGATGCACAAAAAAAACCCAGGAAAATGAAAACCAAAAGCAGTAATACAAAATGACGTTTTAAGTTAATCATAGCTGGAACACATATTTACAATATGTGTTTTCTCCTCTGGCCTTTTAAACAGAGATTAAATTCTGAGGGAAAATGGCTCTGTTACTTCTAATTTGAAAGCACCAGATAAAAAGGCTACAAAGCCTATGAAAATGAGCAGAGACACATAGCTCAAAGTAATTTTTTTCCAATTCAGCAATCTTACACAAAAATCTATATCAGTAACAGTTACACAGAAAGTCAGAAAGACCGTTTCTTTACCATAGATCTTAAAAATCTACCAAAGGTAGGCCATATATGAGCAGTAGAAATTAATGCCTCCAGCTTTCTCCCCAAGCAGGGAAATGCAGCAAATTGACTCCAACAAACTGTAGGAATGTAGCTCAAAGGTAAGAATTTAATCTGAATTCACACTGTATTTCACAGTATTTTTATACTGCTTCTAGAGGAAACTGACAAAGAAAAGAAGGATGGTGAAGCCAATTAGTGAGAAAGAAACCTGTACAGATTTTGGGGAAAATATTCTGGTATCTTTCACATTAAATGCCATAGAAAGCAATTCAGAAATAAGTAAAGGGAATTATGAAGATGGAGAGAACAGCTTGAGACGGTTTTTTCCTGAGAGCTATCATCTACACACCCAGTACCCAAATTTTTTTCTCAGCAAGAACCTTCTCAGGTTTCCTCAGGAAACGTACATAGATGCCACAGAGCTCTGAGTTGTGAAATGATGCAGGATTTATTATGAAAAACAAGAGAACTCCCTCACCAAAGACCGTGTGCAGGCCAACGAGGATGGAAGTACCACATGGAAATGAGGGGAAAAAAAAAAACTTTTTTGCACCTTCCTCCCGGTTAATTAGGGTTTCCTAATCCCCTACCACTTGCTGACAAGTAGCACTATATTCATTCCTCTGCAGGTTTTGTATTTTCTCCTTCCAGCCACCTCCACTGAGAAGGGCAAACCACGTTCGCATTCCTATGGTTAGGGCATGGAAGATAGTTTGCTGTCACTTTCACCAGAATCTGCCGCATCCCTTTCCTTTTTTTTTTT